ATATATAATCAGTTGTTAACAAAAATAAATTAAATATTTTAAAATTAAATATAAATACAAATAAAAAAATATAATATTTTTTAATAAATATTTTGTTATTATATTATCTTGTAAAAATTATCTCTAAATTATATTGCATTTTATTACATGAAATAAATATTATCAATTATTGAAATATATATACATATACATATAAACTTTCTTTGTATTGACCCATCTAACAGTTCACTAAGTCTCTAGATTCCTCATTTTGTGCGTTCATTTCAGATTGCTCTCAACTTTTGTAGTATATCTTTGGGAATACATAGGGAAGCCATTGAACAAAGAAATAGAGAAGTATTAAACTTTTTCATAGAAAAATAACGCAGGAACGAATAATATATAACTAAACGTGTGACATTGTTCTTAAATATACAGTGAAAATTTTATGAAAACTGTGTTTGATAAAATTTTAAAAGATAAAATTTATTCAAAGAAACTTCAATGTATTCACCTGGGCATCACTGTTAAAGCATTATCTCAACATCGTGGCATGTTTTCGCGGTGTATAAAAGATCCGAAGGTTGAGAACCTCTCATTTTTGTATGTTAATTTTTTTTTATTTATTTTAAAAAATAAGTTTTTTTTAAATAAAATAATTTCATGTTTTATATACATTCTAATTTTTTATTACACATATATTATAGAATATGTACTAACGCCTCTCAACACTTATTTTATCACAATGTTTTTAAACTCTACAATAAATTTATAATAAATTTTTATTTTTTATTATCAATAACATATTGATTACAATATTGTTATTTATATACAGTTTTTAAATAAATACTATATATATTTAAATTCAGATTTAATGAAAACCCAATATAATGTCATAAATATTTTTTTTTTATTAAAAGACAATTTAAAATCAAAAAATAAAAACTGTTTTATTAAAAGAATATATTTTTTTATGTAGAAATTATTAAATAATATTATTTTTATGAATTTTTTACAGGAAATATATTAAAGATAAATTGCTTTCTACTAATAAATAATGACAGAATATTTTGATTTACCACTTAATATGGACAGAATATGTAGAATTTGCCTTACAGAAGGTACTAATTTATCACCTATTTTTTGTACGGATCAAGAAGTGAATGATTTTTCGGCTCTTCCTCAAAAAATACAAGTTTGTGGATCAATAGAAATTCATGAACAAGATGGATTACCTTCTTTAATTTGTGATATTTGTATTTATAAAGCAAGTGTCGCTCATGAATTTAGACAACAATGTCAACATTCTGATGCCAAATTACGAATGTATTATAACAAACCATCTAAAATTACTATTGTGGTAAATATATGATATATTAATATTTTATATCACATAGCAAATATAAACAATGAATTTAAATATTTTAGGATACATATACGCAAACTGAATCTGAGATAAGAACATTGTTATCTAAAGAACAAATTAATCAAGAGAGTTATTTTGTAAAAGAGGAAATGCATGTAGCATCAAATTCTCAAGAATATGTACAAACTAATGATTCATATTGTAGAGATGAATCTAACTTAAACACCAGCCAAATTGATATGCAGAATGAGAAACTTTTTATTTGTTCTATTGGATTTGAAGGACCTAAAGAAATTGAAAAAGAATCTTGTACCTCAGAAAATAATATACATGAGACATCTCTTACACAAGAAATCAATAATGATATTTCTGAAACTATAAATATGCAAAATAAACCAGAAGAAAATCAAGATATCAATCAAAATTTAGAGGAAGATGATAGAAAACAAGAAGTAGAATTTTTTGATGAAAATATATTAAATGACAATGTTAAAGAAGAAGAAGAAGTTGTGCAGAAACGTACTTCTACTAGGAAAGTAAAATCAGTGCCTAATAAAACTTACAGCGAAGATGAAATTCATGATAATTATTATGACTCAAGTAATGATGGTGAAGATTCTGGAGAATTAAAATTTAAATGTAAAGTATGTGCAAAATGTTATAGCACACAAAGAGGCTTAAAGAAACATTCCCTTGTTCATGAAAAGAAACATAAATGCAATATTTGTTCAAAAATGTTTTATAGATTAGAGAACATGGAAAATCATAAAAAAATACATGCATCAAAACCACTTGCATGTCAATTATGTCACGCATGCTTTTCTAAACCTCAAAGTCTTGTACGTCACTTAAAATCTCATACAGAAAAAGTAAATAATATGATTAAACAAATTAGTACAGATGAACAAAAAGACAACAAGGAACCAAAAAAAGAAATGAAATTTGAAGATGATACAGATGATGAAAATGGTACTGTAAATGAAGTTTATGATTTTGAAAATGCACCTGAGTTGTACAAATGTGAAATTTGTAGTCAATATTGTTCTTCATTAAAAAATCTGAAAAGACATAGTCTTGTACATGGAGATAAAAAATATTCCTGTACTGTATGTAAAAAATGGTTTTTTAGGCCTGATACATTAAAAAAACATGCAGAAAAACATGGTCATGGATTATTAGATAATTTAGTAGATGATAATAAATTTTTTGATTCTGATGATGATTCTTTCCCAAATACTACTCAAAATACTTTACAAGAAAATGAAAATGTTAAAAAAGAAGAAAGTGATGAAGATGATTCTGGTGAATATAAATGTCAACATTGTGATAAAATTATGGCAACAAAGAAAGGTCTTAGACGTCATGTATCAATGCATAAACCAAAAGCTGAACCAGTTACTTGTGAAATCTGTGGAAAGGTATGTGCTAGTCAAGCTCGTCTTGTTCTTCATCAAAGGACACATAAACCAAAAGAAAAAGTTCCAAGAGAATATTTGTGTCACATTTGTAGTAAGGTGTATCCAAGTAATTCTTCTCTAACTTATCATATGAGAACTCATACTGGTATCAAACCACATGTGTGTAAAACTTGTAATAGTGGATTTACTACAACAACCAGTTTAGCAAATCACATTAGAATTCATACAGGTGATAAACCATTTGTTTGTCATGTATGTAGTGCTGCATTTGCTGTGAGTTCAGCTTTTAGACGACACTTGACTCGACATACTGGAGAAGCAAATTATTTGTGTAAAACATGTGGTAAAGCATTCAAAAGACTAAGTACTTTAAAAGAACATACTTATACTCATTCTGGTGAAAAACCATATGTGTGTAAAACTTGTGGAGCTGCTTATAGCCATAGTGGTAGTTTGTTTGCACATCAGAAACGTTGTCGAGCTCAATATGGAGAGATGGTTGTAGATGAACATCATCATACAGTTGCTCACCATATTCATGTAAATAATGTGCAATCTGCAGTACGATCACTTGCTGTGATAGGACAAATGTTTTAATAAATAAGTTTTATTATATCAAAAAAACAATGGTTTTGCTTGTGCATTATAACAAATTATATACATATACATACATACATATATATATATATATATATATATATATAAATTAATATATGTGTATAAATTATATTATATACATTGAAATGTGCTATGATTTATAACATATATAAGATATGTATACAAAATTATTGTAGAAATCGTGCACTTATGTAAATATATAAACAGCTTTTTTTACTAAAGAAAATTTATTTAGATATTCATATATTTAGAAACTTTGTAGATTGATGTTTTATTGCAAAATTTATTTCTTCATTTAAATAATGGTTATTGTGAATATTTTTTAATTATATATGAATATTTTTTTAAGTTTAACTTTAATATTCATAATTATAAAAATATAATTGCAGAATTTAAATATATTAATAAATACATTATTTATTTAGAGTGTCCCAAAATCATATTGAAGGCAAAAATAGATGAATTTCTTATATTAAGAAAAAATAGTGAGTTCATATAATTTTTTAATATAAAACCTAATTATTGATATAAAAATAGATTTAAAAAAAATTTGAAAAAAATTTTTTTTAAAATTTAAAAAAAAAATATTAAAAATTCAGGCCTATGGCGAACATATAAAAAACTTTTTAACAAAATCTATTCAAATTTCAATAATTAAATATATATTCATATATATATATACATATATATATATATATATATATATATATATATGTATACACAATAAATAAAATATATTTTGCCATTAATTTCGATAGTTTTAATTTATTTTATAAATATTTATATATGTTTAGTGTCAATGTCAATGAATTGTAATTATTATATTCAGATCTTAACTTTTTTAATTTTTATTCTTTAAATAAATTTAGCGAAAATTTTTTTATTTTCTATTATGATTTTAGAACACTCTATATATAAATTGAATGTATAATTTAAATAATTTTTTTTATATGCAAATAATTGAATAAAAGTAGAAAATTATATATTACTTTATATGTCATTTACATTTTTTCGTTTTTTTTTTTAAATTGAATTAAGAAATTTATTATAATATTGGCAGTATTATAATTTTGTATAAAAAATTAAAGATTTTTTTTATATATATTCATGTATATATTATACAATTACTTAAAACATTTTATTATTTATATATATATATATATATATATATATATATTTATTGGATTATATGAAAAAATACATTTAACAATCGTATATTAAAAAAAATAAATATGCAATATAAATATATTGTGCCATTAAAACATATAAATAATAGAAATTTAAAAAATTTTTTTTATTATTTAAAATTTTACTTTTTTTATCTATTTTGTATTAATATAAAAAATATTAAATTTTAATATTTAAATTAATTATTTCAATAAATATTGAATCAAATATAAATAAATGCTTTGTGAAATGAATTTATTTATATATAATGAATTTTGTTTACTATTTATTTATATAAGAAATTCAATAATAGTATAAAATTAATAAAAAATTACTTTCTTATTTATTTATTACATAATAAATACAATCATAATTTAAATCAATTTAATTATAATCAGAAAAATAATATTATATTTTTTGAAATGAAATAGTAAAAATTACAAACATTAAAACAATAATTAACATACAAACATTATACAAAATTAAAATAAATATTATAAAGATTTTATTTCTTGATTTGATTTGATTTTATTTCTTTTGATCTGATTCTCTTTGCCTTTTCTTTTTAAGCAATTCATAACGACGCCAAATAGAAGCTCGGGTTCGTTTTAAAACTTTCGCTAAATCTGCATATTTCCGCTTCTGATCAAGGTTTGCATTATGTTCTAAATAATTCAAAATCATTTTATCTTCTTCTGGATGAAACCTTTATATATTAAATATTATATTAACATAACAATAATAATAAGATATAAAAATAAGATATATAAATAAGCATTATATTATATAATGTATAAATTTTGTAAAATCTGAACTATATTATTTTTAATCAAATAAAAAGCATTCAATATCAAAAAAAAAATTATTTTATTATGATATAAGTATTTTTATTTTTGATATAAAAAATATAAATTTCTTTTTTATATAATATTTAATAGAATGTAAATATTACGTGATATAAAAATAGGATTTATTATATAATAAAAATTAAAATGTGTATCGGTATTTAATATAAAAAAATTTTCTACATTACCTTCTTTGAAAATGATTTGTATATAAATTTCTAAATCTGTGATATACACTATATAAAGTTCTATTTGGCAAACCATCAGCTAAAAATTGTACAAATTTTCTTCTTTGTTTTTTACTGCGAATATATGTTTTATTTCCTTCTCTCAAGAGTAAAAATGGTTCAACCTTTTTAGAATCCCATTTATGCAACTATATTTTTAATTTGATCACAATAAAAAATTTTTTAATAAATTTTTTTGAAAACAAACATATAATATTCTTCGAACAAACCTTACAAAATTCTTTCCAATTATTACTAATTATTTTATCTTCTACCGAATCATAACATCCTTTTTTAATGAATGTTATTTGTTTAAATCTTTCTATTTCTTCATTTTTTAGAGGACGAGATCCTGCTCTAGTTTCAATTTCATGTTGTGGTAACACAGGATTTTTTAATTGTACATTCAATCCTTTTAAATACTATAATAAAAAAATTTGTATAATTACTTTAACTTAATATAATATGTTGATTTAAGATTATTAACATATTAATTTATTAAAATTTTTATATTGCATTATATTGCATCATCTATTAAATACATTACTTGTGTATCTTCTTTACAAAGTTTATTTGCTTCTTTAATTTGTTGTACAATTAAATTGACATCATCAATGCTCATTTCTGAAATTTATATTTTAATAATAAATGCTCATATATATCATATGTACATATATATATATATATATTTAATACGTATTATTATAATATTTTATAATAATATGTAAATTATAATTAAAAATCATAATAATATAAACTATTTATTATTTTTTTTTCAAAAATGTTTTTCATACTTCGTTTCGTGTTATATTTTTATGAACTATAAAATCATTATTTTATAATTATAAAGTCATATAATATTCAAAATATACGTAATTTATAAGTTATCTTCTACAAAATTTTTACTATATATATATATATATATATATATATATATATTATATATAATATAGCTTAAATTAGATTTAGGTTAAATATATTTACCAAGTCGACTTATTGAAAGTAAACAAAATAAAATAATCAATCTAGGGGAATTCAATCGATTCAATTAATAAAATTGAAACTATGAAATAAAAAGATATCTTTCTGCACATAAATTTATTCGCAAAATTCAATATAAACATAAATAATGCAATAATTTCGAACAATAAAATAACGAACTTAATTCAAATTAGTCAACGTCTGAAATATTGAATGATAAGGCTACTCTATATCTAGTCTGTGGTAATATTTATCAGCTGATTTTATTATTTTGATTATTGTATTTTAAATGTCATATAATTTATTTGTTTACATGCGATTTGCAATTTTTTATTAAAAAAGAATTTTAATGAATAAGATTCTAATATATTATTAATTTTTAAATATTATTTAAATCTATTATTAATCTATAATTAATAATTACAGACAATAAAAAATTATAATATTTACATAATTTAATACATGTGGTAATAAGTTATCAAAATGAAGATATGAACTTAAATTTACTATAATAAATAAATTAAAATTATTTATTAATTTTAAAAATTAATAAATACTTATACACTATGGCTTCAGCTTCAAGTACAAGTGCTCGAAGTTTATTTGTTGAATCAAAAATGAGATTAGCTGATAGAGTACAAGTTAATGTGAACAATATTGCATCTCTTGCCAGACAAATACAAAGAGGTTCAAAAAGTAGCGAAGTAAAATTTAATTATATAATTTTTCAATAATTCTATTATCTATTATTTTATTATCCAAATATATAATTGTATAAATATTATTTTTTTTTATAATTAAAATATTTTTGTAGATAATAATGCATAGTGCAAAAAATTTTGCACAGCAAGAACATGGTGTAGAGATTGCAGAAGCTAATCTAAAAAAAATTGCTCTTATAACTACTCATTTAGAATATCAAATGGAATCTATTAACAGAAGTTTTATGACTTTGGAAGAAGTTACTGAACAAGTACGTGCTATGCAAAGATAAATTATAATAAATATTTACCATATTTTTATTTATAATATATACTTAATGATATATTTTGTATTTTTGTATTATATTATTATTATTACTAATATATTATATTATTATAATATGTTTTAATTAAATATAATATTGTATTATTACTACTAGTAAAACAAATTAATCTATTAAAATTCAGTTTATATAATTGTATATATATTTTATAATATATAATATATAAATAAGATTATATGATTTGTATAATAGAGTTCAATTTTATGAATATTTATATAGTATTATAAAACATTGTTTACTTAACATTTATCTTTAATTTGTAATAAAATTTAATCAACTACTATATTTCATAATTATTATAATAAAAATATATCATTCTTGTAATATATATAATAGAAATTTGATATATATTATATATTTCAAATTAAAATATAAATATTCAAGATTTATTAATATAATTTTTGTTATTTATTTAATGCATTTAATAAACTTATAATAAAATTATAAATAATACAATATATTTATAAATTATAAAGATCAATTACAATTTATTATTTAAAAAGAAACAATTTTTTTTACATAAAATTTCATAATTTTATTGAATATTCTATAATACTTAAATTAATTACTTACAATTATAACATATATTTAATCAAACTTCCAAAAATTTTATGAGATTTAATTACATACATAAGATATAATTTGCTAAATAATTGATCTTTGTCATGAGATTTTTTAAAAAATTGTATGTAAGTTTAATGTATCATTTATCAAGGATATAGAATATCATAATGACCAGGACGATATAATAAATGAACGGCAGGAGTAGCACCTTCAGGGAAATCATGTGCTGTTACTTCAGTTCCTGCACCTCGATCCATATAACGAACACGTACTCCAGTTCCTAAAGCAGTACTCATAGCTATGATGTGAATATGATCAGATTCTTTGTACATTGGTTCTACTTCCTATAAAAATAATTTAATCAATACTAATTAAAATGTAAGAGATTTTAAAATTTTCTTAGAAAATTTTACTAATCATAATATCTTATATACAATTTTTTTATGATAAATAACAATACAATAATACTCACTTGACGACAAAATTCTGAAACAGTACGTTCTCCTTCAATAAAATGCTGATAAAAATCAGCTTCTCGTCGTAATTGACCAGAAGTAATTAATCTAAGATATACAACAACATAATCAGAACAACCTTGTTCATTGAAAAGTTTATGTAATTCAATATAACTTGACTCTGCATCTTCTCCTACTTTATCAATTACATCCATAAACTATAATGCAAAAAATAAAACATTTATTTCTGTAAATTTAAAGAAATAAAAAAACAAATCATAAATTTATTATTTATAATTTATAACAATACATATTTACCGTATCATGAAAATCTTCAACTGTAAATTGAGGAAAACCTAATGCTACCAAATTATCTTTACTTTTTAATGCAAGTTCTCGAAATTTTTCATATTCATCTTTATTTCCAATTAACTTTTCAAGATATGCATAACTAAAAGCTCTAAAAAAGCAATTTCCATCAGGTCTAGTTCTCCTAATATATGAATATTTTTGACCTAATGCTTTAGCTTTTGATAAATATACTTCATCTTCAGAATATTCACGTTCCAAACTTTTTATAGATTCTTTTTCTCCAACTAAAGCAATAGATTCAGAAATCTGGAAAATAATTTTATATTTTCATTCATAAAATAATAAAGAAATTCATATAAAATAAAGAAATAAAGATCAAATATTAAATTAAAAAATTTATATTTGAATTATAATTATATTTTAATTACATATAATCTAGGATATAGTAAGATAATCAAATAAACAAATGATTTAAAATCAAAAAAACAAAAAATAAGAACGAAAATTAATGACAATTATTGAAATCTCATAAACAAAGATATATAATTTTTCAATTTAAATATTACTTAATAATCAAGTGAAAAAAAAATAAATTTATACAGTAATAATAATATATATTAACCTCCATTTCGATTCGCCTTTGTTGTTGAAGAATCAACTCATCTTGGTTGACATCTGTAATAAAACAAATATGATAAGTTATATGTTCATTCTTTTGAATTTTAATTTATATTTGTGAACCTGTATTTTCTGTTAATTGCTCTTTACAAGATTTCTCTTCCATATTTCAAGAGGTTTTCATAAATTTTGAAACGACTGTCAAATTATCAGTCGTAAATAAAAGCCCAATGTCCATGTGGAAATTGAAAAGACATCTACCGTTGTATTAAAATGTTTTAGATTGGTAACTATATCTCTTGATAGTTATAGCATAGTACATAATTTTTTAACAGAATAGATTTTTAAATAATTTTTTCTATATGTTATATATTATAGTTAAATTCATTAAAATAAAGTAGAGAAAAAAAATTCTTTTCTCTTTAAAATCATAATAAAGAATACTATTAAAAATTTTATATTCTACCACTAGAATATCATGTTCTCACTAGATTAATATAACCCGCCAAATATTAAATAATATACAATATAAAATTATGTGAGTATTTAATTTTTTGTTTTTGATATAATTAAAAATTAAAAATTCTGGAATCATTATATATTATATATTATGAATATATAATGATAACCTAAAAGAAAAATAAGATTAACTATTCAAATTCTTATGAAATTTATAACTTTCAAATATTATTTAATGTTAATTAATTTATTTATTATTTATTAATAATGTTTAATTTTAAAAGAATATATATTAATATAAAATAATATTACATAACAATATAAGACCTTAAAAATTTAAGTACTACATTTCTATACATATAATATTATTTTAAATGGTTTGGAATTTAAAAATATAAATAAAGTATGAATAATATAATCTTAAATATTAATAAATTAATAACATTTGTTCCTTTAATAATGATTTTTAATATGCGTTACTCAATAATCGAATTATTTGGAAATTTTATTATTAAAACTAATTTTGTAACTGTTGCAATTTTGAAATGAAATCAATATGTATAAACATGGCACATTTTGAAGAGGAAGGAAGTGTAAGTGACAAGGAATTAAATGAAAGTATTAGTAGTACAGGAAAAGAAAATTCTCAAGAAGAAATTGAAAATAATGCTCGTATTGATGAAGAACAAAAAGAAAAATTAGTAAAATTACCATTAGGTAGAATAAAAACAATTATAAAAATGGATCCTGAAGTACATATGGTTAACCAAGAGGCTGTTTTCTTAATTACAAAATCTACGGTAATTATATTTTATTTATTTACGGAATTAATATAATATTGTTTCTATCTTAAAATATTAAAAAATTTGTAATTAATAATCTTTTAATAATTAAATTATAAATATAATAAAATTATTTTCCAATTTATATTTAATTTATACTTCTTATTTTTATAAACAATTAAACAAATTATATTATATTATATTATATTATATTATATTATATAATATAATATATAATATTATATTAAATGAAAATTGTAATATGTAATAGTATATAGTCTATATTTTGATATTATATATATATATATGCTTTATTATTTTAATTCAATTTTAATATTTATTAAATGAACTAATTTTTATAATAAATATTTTATATCTTAATCATTAAATTTTATATTACAGGAACTTTTTATTGATTCTCTTGCTAAAGAATCATATAAATATACAGCACAAATGAAAAAAAAAACAATACAAAAAAGAGATGTAGAAAGTGCAATTAATAATATTGATGCACTTGTATTTTTAGAAGGAATGTTAGATTAAAATTTAATAAAATATTTAATTTTTTTATATTTCAATATAATAATAATATAATAATAATAATAATAATATTATCTTTTTATTTTTTTTCAATATTATAATATTGCATTGAAAAAAAATTATATATATACATATATATATATATATATATACACAGAATATGTAAATATAGCTTAAATATTCCATATTTAATACAAAGAAACATAAAACAATTTAACTTATCATTAAAAAATGAAAGATAAATATATAATATTATATTTTATAATTTATAGAAATTAAGGCTATGATAATGAGTATAATAAAATTCATTTGTTTTTTATGTACATAAATTAAAATTTTATTAAATTTATTATTAAGTTTAATATTTAATTAATTAAACATATTTCACATAACAGAAATGTTTTTTATTATATTTATACTAAAATGTTAACATCCATTTAAGATGTATTTTAATATCCATTTTATTGTAAAACTCATTTAATACAATTATATAATTTCATCTGCATGTACAAAGAATTGCATAATTTTATTATTATACAAATATTTAAATAAGATTTATAATATTATACATATGAATATATCTTTAAAATATTTTCACATTTTATTAAATATTTCTAGGTTATCTGTAATGTACCTTCTATGATGTAGGATGAAATTTGTACATTGGAATTAATTTTAATTTTCATTTTAATTGTTGTAATTTGTATAATACAAAGATTAAATTATTTAAATTATCTTATTTAAAATATTAAAAAATATTTTCCATGTGGAAAAGAATATTTAAATTTTTATCTAATATATATTTATGAACAACATAGAAAGAAAAAATCAGTCTTATTTTATACATGCCAATTAATTAGTTTTTATTTTACCATAAAAATAGAATTATTAAATGAAAATATTTATTCATTTTTATTTATTTTATTCACTTTTTCATTCTTATATTAAAAATAAAAATAAATAACATTGCATTTATTTATAAATTATTATTTTACAAAAAGAATTCAATAATAGTTTAAATTATCCATTCTGATTTTTCAAAATATTTTAATTAATTCATTTAGTTAATTAAATTAATTAACTAAATTATCTAAATAATATCACTTTATAATAAAAAATTGTTATCAATAAAAAAAATATATATATATTTTTTAAAAAATATCTATCATAAAATTTGATAGAAATTATATGAATTTTCTGGTTAAATGTGTTATTATGAACATTTCTATTTGTAATTTTGTTTAAAAATTTTGTTAAAAATCATAAATTAAAAAATATAAAAAATTATTGCTAAAATTTTATTACAAATAACAAATTTTTATTAAATATTTTAAAACAAAATATTATAAATTACAAAATATTTCATCTAATATTTACTAGTACGCATATAGTTTTAACATAAAATTTAGTAAATAAATTAAATTAAAAAGTAAAAAAAATTAAAATAAATAACAAGTTATATTATTCTATTTTAAAAATATTCTATTTTTGATTCTATCTTGCAATAAACATTTATATAAAAAACATTTATCATGAAATCAAATGAGATAATTCATCAATTAAATGAGATAATTCTTGTTTTAATTTTATCAAGTAAAATCAATTATCATTTATATAATATTTTTTATCAATTTGCTAATTTGCATATATATAATATTTTGAATATGTACTACATATGTATTACTAGTAAAATTTTATTATTATTACATTTAATAATAAGATAGCATTTTTCATATTGAATTTATAAATTCAATTATATATTTTTAGCTGGTTTATAATTAAATTATATTATTTAAAATATTTTGAAATCAGGTGATCAGAATGTACATTAATATTAACTTATTAATTAATTTATATAATTAATTAATTTATATAATTTATAATATTAATTTTTTTTCAGAGTATTTTCTACTAATTTTTTTAGCAATTTTAAATAATGATAAAAATATATATTTTTTCAGAATAATAATAATAAAAATAATAATCAATATTTATAAAAAATTATAAGTATAAAGCAAATCAAATAATGATTTTAGTAGTCTTATATTTTGAAAATTGTTAAAAAAATATTCTTAATAAAAACATTTTTAATTTTGAATTATATTAATATATCTCTGTCACCTAATTGTATTTTTATCCCTGAATCTTTTTTTTATATTATTTAAAAAGATTTTCTTTAAAATATTTATTTCATTAATAGTAAAAATAAAACAAAAAAATTTTAAAACTTTGCAATTTTTACCATAAATATTTCATTAAACAAATTCATTTTTCTTACAAATGAAATAATGTAAATTTTTGACTTCTAGATAACATTTTATTACATTAATCATGTGTATTTAATTATAAAAAACAAAAAACTTAAAGCATATAAAATTTGTTGAATTTATAATAAAAAAAATTGTTCGATTTTTATTTATATTACATGGTTATGTCGTTTTATAAATATTAGCTTAGTAATAGTTTACTGAAATAAATATATTATTCAAAGCGATTTAAAAGAGATTTTAAATTCTTTTCATTGCTTTCAGTTTCTTTAAATTCAAAATTCAAAAATTATTGAAATAACTTACTATAACTATATTTTGCATATTATATTAAAATGATATATAACATTAATATAATATTTGAGTATTATATTTCAGTTGAATTGAAAGATTATTTATATTTTTATAAGAATTGAAATTATTATTTTTTATATATTTTTGTTTTTCTTAATATAATCTACAATTAGAATTGATAAATTCTATATTTATAAATATAATGATTGTGAAAATGATTTATATATGGGGTTATTATTTTATATGGATTAAAAATTAATCCTTATTTTTGAAATTTTAATTCACAATACATCTTAACACTTGAGTATGATTGCAATTTTTTGTATTTTAACATACATTAAATATGTATATTTTATTAATCTAAGATAGTATAAGTTGATTTCATATATAAATTAATAATTAAAATATTTGTTTTAAACAATTTTTCTAACATTAAACAAATGTTACCTAGTTATTAAATAAATTGTAATTTGCAATTGCATTTTTGTATAAATATATACATTTGTTAGAAATAAATTTTCATTGCAATAAATAAAAAAATATTTTTGGTAACAAAAATTATGTAAATATCCTTTTTTTAAATTCATTCTAATATGATTTCAATATTGTGCTAGAGTTAATGAATATCATTTATATTTATATGAAGGAAAGAATATAAGAATTCATTATGGTATTATATATATTACTGTATAATTATACATGACGAATGCTAAAAGATTAGGAAGTAACTTGCCATATTTTTTACTTCTTGCGTTTAGTTTTACGTCGCTTACAGTCCCCTCTAAAAGAACTTTGATCTGGTGGACTTGAATTTCCGGTCTTGCTGTGATTGTATAAATTATTTAAAAAGTCTTCAAAGTCTGCTTCACTATTCAATGTGAATAATTATTTATTATAGTGTTATATGTTATTAAAAATCATAAAATATTTATGAATTTAATAAAATTTCAGTACCTGGTATTCGGATCTATTTGTTGACGTCTTTTACCATTATTGGGCGTTTGTGACGGTGGTCGTTGACCTAAGACAATTCTATACTGAACACTATGTGTATTTGCTCTTAAGTGTTTTAAATTACCAGCTTGACAAGCTGCCCAATCAGTAACATCATATACTGCTCCTTCCATACAAGCATAATAATGCCAAAGAAAACCCATTAAACGAGACTCTGCCCAGATATCTCCCTAGTTAATTTATATAAAATAATTTAAGAATTATTCAATATATTTGTTTATATATATATATATATTTTTGATAATTACTTCTTTTGCGCTATGACGTATTTTACATTGAGCACAAAATCGCGCTGCATAACAAGGACGTTGTGTTGGAATTCTTTTATGCCTTAAACCACAATTTGTACATCTAATTGTATTTGCTGCCTGTTCCATCTTTCTATGAAGTTGAGAAAGTAAATCACTTAATACACCCCAAGCTGCTTCAACTTGTCTAGTTTGATCAAATGCTTGTCTGCGTTCCTAAAAAATATTAAAAGTACAATATAAATATTATGTAAATATTAAAAGTACAACAAAATTATAATAAAAATAATAAAAATGAATTATGTATGAAAATATAAATTTTTCAGAAATATATATAATAAATATATATATATATGTATATATATATAAAAATATATATACCGGTTCACCAATTATGTCAAATGCATGTACAAGTATTTTGAATGCTTCTTCTGCACCAGGCTGATTATTTTTATCTGGATGAACCAAAAAAGCCTGTCTCTTATAATATTTTTTAATATCATCATCTGAACATGTTGGTGTAACACCAAGTATACTATAAGGATCTTTTCCTTTACACGCTAATAATCTTTTCATAGCTTCTTCACCTGTACTAGGTAATGCAATATTGGCTTCAAGACCACCATGTATCCAATTACTATTTTCTTCTTTTTCTTCACTTTTAGTTTTTATTTTACGCCAAAATGCAAATTTACTATTACCAAACCAGTTATCCAATTGCTTACCAACAATATTTAAAATACGAATTTTTGAAAATGTTATAGCCATATAAACCCATGAGTATTTTAAATATAATATAGTGTGATACCATCCACATTTTGCACTATAATGTAAATATATATGATCTGATTATTCAGATTATGTAAAATATATTAAAATAATAAATACAGAATTAAAATATAATATTTTTCATTACTTACAGTAAAATCATAAGATTAGCACTCATACTAATTACATCAGATACTAAATGTAGCAACCAATGAAATATTTTTAAACCAATTTTAATCCAATGACTGGCATACTTATTTAGATTTTTATATAAATCTTTGACTGGTGATTCTTTATTTTCTCTTCTTCGATTTCTTTGAGCTTTTTTGATTTGTTGTGTTTTTTCAGTCTGAAAACGTTTTGAATTTTTTTCTTTGGTTGCTTTTTTTTCTTCTTTATTCATTTTATTTACAATTTGTTGATTTTTCTCTATTTTTTCAGGAGAAATAGTTTGACTGGAAGCATTTATTATATTTAAATTATTATTTATTTGAATAGGACGTTTAAGAATATTTCCAATAGATTTGGGATTATTATTTTGAATTTTTGAATTATTAAGTGTTTCTCCTTTTTCTATTTTTTTAGACATTTTAGAAACTTTTTTTTTTTCAAATTGATTTGATCTATCAAAAGTATTTATTTCATGAGTTTCAGTTGTTGAACCAAGATTATCTAATGATACCCAACGTCTTGGAAGATTTGAATTATTTTTTTCTAAGATTTTTCGTGGTATTTGCATTTTTGGAGAATTATGATCATCACTTCCAGATGAATTTTGTCTCTTTAATGTTGTAGATTTAGATTTATTTTTTGAATTTTTATTAGAAATTTTTTTATTTACAGATTCTGTTTTAGGTTTTATAGATTGAATTGTTAAAGGTGATGGAGGTGTTGGAGCAGATTTTGTTAGAACATCAGAATAAGAAGGTCGCATAGGTTTTACTTCTGCTACAACACGAGGTTTTTTGTGTTGAGAATCAGTTGAATTTCTAGGTAATTCTTCAGAATCTCTAATATCTATATTTGATTGTACTACTGAAGTTACATTTGAAGATCCACCAAAAGGACTATATGTTCCAGATTGGTTTGGTACCCAATTACCAACTAAATTTTCAATTAATTGTTTTCCATTAAAATTTTGAGTTGGTAATTCAGGTGGTATATTTATATGTTGATCATTAAAAAGACCATATTCTCGATCAATCATATTTTGATTTCTGTAAGATGTCATATTTGATAGCTGACATTGTTCTGCCATAATTTGTGAAGCATTTCCATAAATCACATTAATATAATTGCCTCCTCCAACATCTATAGTACCAATTAAATCATTATTTTCATTTATACCTAAATGATTTACCCCTGTTTGGGATGGAAAATAAATTGAATCTGTTGGAGAATCATAATTAGATATATCTTGCATATAAAGAGGGGCACCCATTGGAGACATGGATTGCATTGTGGGTAAATTAGAATGAGGAGATTGACTAGTAATATAATGTCTTGTTTGATTTGAAGAATAATTTCCCCAATTATGAGATGTAGTTTGCTGTGGATTTACACCAAATTGAACATAATGACCATTAGAACTTTCTAAGTCTGAAGTCATAGCTTCGATGATTTTATCTAAAGACATACGTTTAAAGCCAGAAGGTGACTGTTGTTGTTCTGCCATATTGTGATGTTTCTTTAAAAAAAAAAAGAAAACATTATTTGAAATATATGCATACATAGTAAAAAAAGATAAAATATTGTAGCAAAAATTATTCTATTAAATATAAACTTTTTTTATTTTATCAAAAAAAAATTATTCTGTGATAAATTGAATTTTATTTTTCTTTTTAAAAAAAAAAAAAGATAAAAATGAATAACTTAAAATTGTTTATAGATTGCATATAAAAGAAGAAATATATATAATAAGACAAAAATATCAAAAGGAAAATAAAATAAATTTAATTTAAATTATTAATAATCAAATGAAATGATTTTAAATAGTTCAATAACCTAAAGCAAAAGTTTTTGTTTCGTAAAATCGTGTTAAAATATAACGATATAATGCTTACATTTGTTGGCAAGTATATCCATTTATATTATACTCAAAATAAATAGTTTCTTAACATATTGCAAACAAAATATTATATGCAAGTGACATATACAATTTTAAAGTATATACCATGCGGTTAATACAAAATCAGTCACTGTATTTCGTGGTCCGCACTACCAGCAGATTCATAAACGGATCATATAAATAGTTTTCTTTCTGTATACATACAACCATATATAATATTGTTACGAAAAGTTCCTAGATAAATGGATATGTTCAATTACTGAATCGTTATGGCTTCGACATATAGAATCTGAAAATAATTTTTATTAAGAAATTTTTACTTTCTTTATATTATATTTCGTTATTTATTTCGCTGAAAATAATTAAATTCATAATTAAATAATAATCTTATAATTTTAATATTTTAGTTATTTTTACTATGTTGTTTTATTACATGTTTTACTACATAAGTTTTATTAAGAAATAATATAATCATAATATTTATTATTAAAATATAAGTTATCAATATTTTAATCTGCAATTGATAAAGTTATAAATAACTATATAATCTTATTATTTGATATTTATTGACTTTATACATAGATAAAGTATAATATAGATCCAATATTTGATGCATTTTTTTCCCATGCCTTGAGATATAAAATAGAATTTTTCTTTATTATTTTCGTATTATTCTCAATATTACCGATTTGGCTTAAAATAAGATTAATAATGGTTGGAATTGAAATTAAATTTCAATATAAAATTACAAATAAGAAATAGAATAAATATTCTGTTATAAAATTTAAATCTATCAATATCTTGCTATCAATATCTCGAATCAAAACATTCACATCATATATTATGTTTAATGAAATCGTCATTTTAGAGATGTATAATAAAATTGAGAATGTAAAATATATTACATTAAAAATTAAGGCATATTATAGTTTTGAATTTAATATCCTATATAAGCTACACATAGCGAAGTCGAAAATTAATTAATTAATTTTTTATTTTTTTTTGGTCTATAAAATTTATATTATCTTAGAAATTGATTCTAATAAATTTCCAATATTGACTATTAATCGAAAACCGACAAGAAAAAAATAATTACCTTTGTACAGAAAAATTCAAATTGTTGATAAATTATAAAATTTTATTCATGTATCTTCGATTTTATTATAAGTACTTACAAAAAATATAAAAAGATAATATTAAAATATTCAAATATAATAATATTTATTATAATGTATATATATTATATAATATATAATATAATAAATTATATAATAAATTATTATAATAAAAATTTATAATAATAACATATTATAATTTAGTTTATAATTTATTTATAATAAGTTTACAAAAATTAAAATAACCTTATAAATATAAGTAATAACATTGTGTTTACTAAAATAATAGAATATTTTACTGTTACTGATGTGTTACAAGGTTTTCCTTTTCTAGCTTCACAAGCACACATTTCAAGTACGTAACCATTAATCTACAAAAATATTAGTATATAAAAATTTTATATAAAATAAAATAAATTTAGACAAAAGTTATTATATCATTGTGGTAATCTAGACATAACAATTGCATAACTTTAAAAATATTATTATTCTTAAAAAAAACTAATATCATTTTATTATATTTACAATGAAATAGTAAAAAAGATAATGATATTAAAAATAAAACATAATTACTTTTAAATTGTATTAATTATAAAAAAATATTTAAATATTATTAATATAATAAACTATTATTATAACATTATAACTAAAAAATTATTAAATTGTTGAAAGAGAAATAAATTTAATAATTATATATATAATTATTATATTAAATTAAATTACAAATTACAAATATTTCTTTTACAAATTATAAATATTTCTTAGATTAATGATATTATTAATCTAAAAATTTATAATTTTATAGTTGTATCATTTGTTTTTTTAGACTTTAGATTATATTATTTATAATTATATATATTTTATATATAATAAAATAATAAATTTAAAAATACTTACTTTTTGTTCATAACATCCTGATGTGATAGCTAGTATATTATCTTCTATTACTTTTCCACAAAACGATGTTGTATTAACAACTGCAATTATTTTTATCTTTATAAAGTATTATATTTTTTAATACAAATTTTTATTATATAGAACTATTATATACTTACTGTTGTTATCAAAATAAAAAGTATATTTTATACAAATATTGCCAGTCATTACAGAACATAATTTTTGTTTTGTTTCCCACAATTGATTTACATCTGGTGGTTTTTCTAAAATAAAATTAATAATTATTATATATAGTATTATATGGTATTATTATATATATTAGTTGTTAATTAAAAATATATATAAATTAATATATAAATTTGAAATAAGTATTATTAATATAAATAAAAATATATTATTATTATTATTATTATTATTATTTTATATAAAAGTTAGATTTAAAAAAAATCTATTATATAAAAAAAAAAATAATTTTACCTGTATAAAAAGGGGGAGAAATGCAAGGGCTATTTCTGATTGATGAACAATTATACTTATTAGAATTTTCAAATATTGGAGCTATCCATGTATATTCAAAGCAATTTTGTCCATTAACTACAAAATATATGACAAATTATTTTACTATTCTTTTCTAATTCTTTTACAGAATTGCAAAAATTAATTATTTCAAAAATCATTACCTGATAATAAGTATCCTTTATAAATAATTAAAAATACACAAAAATAAATTTTCATCATTTTGATGTTTTCAGTATTTTACTTTACTAATCATTTCATTGACCATATTCAACAATTTATAGAGCTTATCTGATAAAATTAAGCATTATCATAGTGATGTATCAGCTATTCATTGTATAATATCATATTGAACTAGATAAAGATTAAAGAGAAAATTACAATTAATATTATGTATGTAGAAACATATTAGAATATTAATTAATAATTAATAATTATATTATTATAATAAATAATTATAATATAATATAATAAATAATTATTTTAATAAGGGAGACAATATTTAAAATATTTGAAATTTATTACAATGATTAATATATATTTACATTTTGATGTAATGATTTTTTGTTTACAATGAGGTAAATAAAAATCAGCCATTTTCGATTCTTAATCTATTAGTAAAGATAAATATCTCTAATAAATGCTTTATAAATGTTCTTCATGTTTCAATTATGTTATTTTGTTTATTTCTAAGAGTATTATTCGAAAATTATGTATGATATTAGAATTCATCATGTCTAGTTAATGCTTCACCAAAATCAGTTGCTTGAGAACCAACAAAAATATCGTATTTTTTCAATATTTCATCTTTAGTAAGTTTTTGATCTGCATCTGTATCTGCTTCAAATATGAGATGACGAGATTCTGCCTCTGCATGATCAAAATCAGCTGGAATAATCCAAGTTTTAACCTAAATCAAAATATTTAATTAAATAAAAATTGATCGCATTTTAATAGATAGATTATATGATTGCATTTTAATAGATAGAATATATATTTTATATGCAAAAATATATATATCACCTCTTCCAAATCTAAGAAACCATCACCATCTTTATCACGATACATAGAAAATTGCTCTTTTTCATTTTTTACCCACTCTGGTTCTTCTTCACCTTCTGCACCATCATATACATCACCTAAATAAAAAAAATATTAAATTGTTTAATAAAAAATTGATTTTAAATAATCTCCAACAAATATTTATAAATTATATATATTTTATAAATTAAATATAAAGAAAAATATATTCAAATACCAATATATTCTGAAAGAGATATTTTGCCATCACCATCTTTATCAATATCTTCCATGGTTTCTAATACTACAATATCCTTTGTATGATCAGCTTCTTCTACATGAAGGAAAGCAGCAAACTCTTCTTTTGTAAGAGCATCATCACCATCTAAATCTGCAGCTGTCCAACGTCTGCGATCTTTTTTAAGCATAGCAGCATATGAAAAAGTATTATCTTTAGGTTTTTCGTGATTTTCTGCTTCCTGTTCATCCATATCTCCATAAACCATTGCTAAGTATTCTGTCCATGGAAGTTTCTCTTTTTCTTCAGGATTATGAGATTTCCATTGATGTTCAATATTGTTCCGTATATAACGTCGTTGAGAATATAATATCCAATCTTTAAGTTCTTCTCCAGTAACATAGCCATCATTATCTTTATCTATTTTATCAACTATTATTCCTAATCTTCTTGTACTTTCTTCAGGAGTAAGCTGATCAAAAGTTTTTGCTTCTTCACCTAAAAAAACTTCATGATCATAGGCAGGATTATGTTGAGAATTGACATAATGTTCTTCATTGTTTGGTTCCTAAAATAAATCTTATTTAGAAATAATGTGAAAAAAAGGTATAAATAAATGCATAATTATTTGAATTAAATATTCATTCATAATATATATGATATTTATCTTAATAAACTTTAGCATAAAAAAGAAAATATTATGAAAAGAGTATATATTATATGTATAAAATTATTTTAATATAAGGTTATGTATAAATTTGTATATATTATTATCAAAGAAATTGTTTTCATTTTTGGATAACTGAAAATGAAAGTCTTTTATTGTAAAGATATCTAAATATTTTGAAGCATAAAAATTACAAACAAACCTTATTAATAACTCGCGGCTTGTGATCATTTTCCGGCTTTGGAATTGCCGTTGCCAAGAAAGAAAAACCAATCAAAATTTGGAGAAGCATGAATTCTTGCATAACGCACGTGAGCACGAGAATATGAAAAGAGTATCCAAAATTGGCAAATAAACAAAATTATTGGAATCTTAAATATTAAAAGTACTAATGATAGCTTCTTTTTTAGTTTTAGTTCAGCTTACTCCGACTTCCACATCAGCAAAGCTTAATGTCTTGCTTGACGCTACATCCCCACTTCTCAACTGTATATTCATTTTAGAAACCATTTCTGATGCTGATGCTGAAATGTCTTTGTTCCATATCACAAGCATCATAGGAGTATTACACTCATAGGATACTGTTGCCTAGCTTGTGTTGTGTCGAATGCTATCAAATTAACCCGCGTATGATTACGCATGACTAGTCTACGTAATTATTAATAAGCATAAAAAATGAAATTTTGGTCAGAATTGTAATTATTATATATTAGAATAGTTTAAGATAAATATTTAAGATAATTTAATTATCATAAATATTATATTATTAAGTTAGTTATTATATTGATATTAAGTTAATTTTAAAAATTAATTTTTTTCTTTTAATTTTGTTATACATAAAAGACTTTATTCAGCAGAATTCTTTAAACAATTAACAAAATAATGTGAAATTTTTATATTATTGACGATCATTTAAACGAATTAACAAAAGATATCTTATAAAAACGATATGCATATTTATATTTAGATATATTTATATTTCGTATAAATAATCATATTGTGATTGTGTAAATATTTATTTATTTATTTTGATAATTGTTTACATTGAATTTAATGATTTAATTTTTAGCATGTGTTTAATTATATATGTCAATTAATCTATCCATTCTGATTATTAAAAAAAAATGATGTATCTAATGGATATGAATCTTACGTCTAATTTTAGATTTAACATTTGTAACATCTGATATTTCAATTACTATTGAGAACTACTATTAAAAAATAAAATTTTATTATCTTTAATATACGTAATTAAAATCAAATATATATTATATATTATATATTTATATAAAATTTTATATAATTATAATTTATATTTTAGAAAAATACAATATATTCATATATTTTAATATGAAAAAATTATAAATTTGTATAAACTATGATTAATTAAAATTAATTTAAATTTTAATTATTATTTTATTATATTGTTTACAGCGAATCTAATAATGTTTAATTTTTATTATGAATATTAAAATTTATTTGATGTTGGATATAAATTCTTTTTCAATACTTTTTAAAAATATTGATACATATGTATAATACCAATTAAAATAAATACATTTACAAATAAATAAATTTTTAATATTCATTTATCGATATATTCAATTATCAATTATAGTGTTTTTATTTTCGAATTCACTTTTCAACAATATACATTTTTTCAGATGAATAAGAAATATCAATAAATCGTCTTTAGCTTTTTTTTTAAATCGAGTTATTCCAATAATAATTTCCTGTAATGAATCATTTGCAGCGATTCTTTTTATCTAGGACGCGCTTATCCAGTTATCTTATATTTGTCAGCGATAAAGAGAATACTAGCTAAAAGAATCAGGTGTAAATTGTCGAGAATACGTTCATAACTAGTGTTCACGTTTTGATATCATTTTATTACAGTGATTTTCGCGAAAAAAATTCTTATTAAAACGTATATATTTTTGAACGTAAAATTTATTTGAAATATCCAATTGATAAAATAAATTTTTAAACGATGGTTGCCAAAACTTCTGGACCTCAATTAGAGCAACGAATTCAGTGTATAAAATTTATTATTTTCTGCTTGAATGCCATCATATGGGTAAGTAAAAAATACTTTAAGAAGTAGTATGATTATGTTTCTATATTGTTATCTAATGTTAAAATTAATATTTAATTATCAAATAAAGATTTATTCATTATTATTTTTAATCCAATTAATCCAATGTTTAACCTAACGACATAATTAAATAACGAAAATTAAATAAATTTGAATTAAATAAATTTGAAATCTCGTGTAATATTTAATATTTGATTAATAGTTGATTAATATTATTATTACATTCCTAAATGTATATAAGAATGCAATTTAGTTTAAAATAGTTTATATTAAGATATGAGTACTATATCTTCGTTATGTTTATATCAATATGAGTCAGATTTGTAACAATCATATCTGTGTTTATCAGCGTGAATATAAAAGTGTAATGGCTTAAAACTAAATATTAGAAATGAAATAAAATAATTCGATAAAATATTCCTTCTTTTTATGTCCTTATAATTCTTCTTTTATTCTTTTTTTTTTTTTATTAAATTAAATTGATTACTATAATAAATAAAATATTTTTAAATTATGTTATATATATTGTCATTGATTAAAATTAAAATGTAGAACTTATTTCAATTATTTGAAATAATTTTTTAAATATTGTTACACATTTCTTAGTTACTTGGGAGTTCAATGTTTGGATTATGCATGTGGTTAAGGTTGGATCCAAATTTTCAAGAATGGGTCAATTTTCTCGAGATATATGAATTTTATATCGGCATTTATATCTTACTTGCGGCTTCGATATTTATCGTAATTATCACATTCATTGGCTGTGGAGTTGCTCTTATGGAACATATTCTTGGTCTCTACATTGTAAGATATATATATATATATATATTATTATTATCAGCTTAAAAAATAATTTAAATATCTATACAAAACAATGTATATTTCTTGAAAAATAATTTTATTATATATTTTAAATTTTAAATTAGAGAAAAATATCTCGTATTTATATGAAAGAAATATTAAAAATTTATTATTTATTTTTCAAGTATGCAGGATTGCAATTATTTTCCTATATCCTCGGCTTGGTAGGAACTTCAATTCTTCTCGATTATTCAACCTACGACAGTAAAATTCAACCTCTTATACGACGATCTATGACAGCTCTCATTAATAATTATCAAGACCCAAAAGCAACGTATATTCTACAATTGATTCAAGAAAGCGTAAGATATTATATTATATTTTTGTTGGAAATTAATATCTACTGTTTCTCCTATGTTGAAATAATTCATTTCAAATATAATAATTTTTTTATAATAATTTTTATATTTATTATTATTTTATATTATTTTTTATATTTAATCAAATATAAAATTAATTTTAATATAGATCGGTTGTTGCGGTGCCGACGGTCCGATGGATTATTTAACTTTGAAAAAACCATTGCCCACTGAATGTAGGAATACGGTTACTGGAAATGCTTTCTTTTATGGATGCGTCGAAGAAATTTCATGGTTTTTGGAAGGAAGATCGGGTTGGTTGGCTGGTTTAGCATTGGCTCTATGCATGCTCCATGTAAGGGATCAACCATATTTTATATTCATAAATAGATGAGTATTAAAAATAGATTGTAACTTATAATTTGTTATATTTCATAAATTAAATTTTCCAGATAATAATAACAGCCCTTACTCTAACATTGGTCCGAGCTATTAAAAAAGAAGAACAATATATCACATTTAAACGTTAATTTATGGTAATTTAATGGTAATTTTCATTTTCATTACATCACATTTCATAGTAACGTGTATTAATGTAATCCATTCATGAAATGAATGGAAACCTATAAAGGAAAAAAAAAAAAAAATAGACTGACGAATTGTAACAAATTTAAAACATTTTTTCCGAGAAATATGCGGAATAGGTATAATATACAAGATATTCCATTTGAAATTTTTGCAATTATCTATCAAATTTTTAATAGTAAAACTTATTTTGTTTCAACATAATTTGATATAATCTATTTTTAAATCACATAGAGGTACGAAGCTTAATTTTAATTTTAATTTTGTTAATTTTTTTTTTATTTTAAATCATATTTTAATTCGAATTTAAATTTCACTCGAAACATTTTTGAAATAACGAATAATTACGATAGATAATTGAGTCCAAAATTTCGAACGGATGGAAATTATATAGAATATTTTTTTTAACGCAATTTATATTTTTATTTTTACACATATAGAATGTTCCAAAAATATGAAGGCCAGATAAGTGAAGATTCTCGAGATAATTTCAACGAATAATATTTTCCTCTGCAAAAATTTTGCATATTGGCCAATCGTGCGTCGATTAATTAAGTTGCTACGATAATATAAGAATATTTGCCACGAACAAATCCAACAAACAATGTATCGAGGAAAATTGTTGAATTATTGATGAATTATTCAAAATGAATAATTACTTTTCTAACAAACGAATGATAAATAATATTTACAATAATTACAATATATAGAAGATATTCATTCGAATAAGGAGAATAGGAAGAGAAAAAACGACAAGGAGAATTGATAAAGAAGGGAAAAACAAAGTTTTTTGCAAAGGAAAATGTTGCTTGAAATTACTTCAGGAATTTTCAGTTAACCAATGTTCCAATCACATTTTACACCTAATATAATAAATATTCTATCAACTAGTGTTTTTAAATGAATATAAAATATAAAAATAGAATTTCATATTGTTTAAAATGACTATTAATTAATTAAATATATTCTAGTTTTTGATAAAGTAAAAAATATATATGTATTGGTTTTACATATGTATTTACTTTATTTACAAAATTTTTAATGTACAATACTAATATCGTAGTCACTATAATTGTAAATTTATATACAATGTTTTTATTATCGGCCAATTAATATATTTCTATACATCGAATAAACAAAATAATTTTTCTAAATTATAATTCGTTTTCGATATTTGCATATTATATATTAATTAAATTTTATATATTATTATCTAAAACGTTATTCTTCTAGAAATTAATTCAATTTTTGAACATTGTGTATAAATGTATATAATACGATATTAATTAATTTGTTTCTGATTTAATTATAATTTTTATAAAATGTATTTTTTAAAAGTATCATATTAATTTGTAATCAATACTTAGTTCATTTGCAGATTTATATTTAACGAAAAAGAAAATTCGTAAAATTTTGCTTCAAAATAAGAAAAAAAAAAAATGAGAAAAATATCAATTCTAAATATTTCTAAATAACCATTTCAATAATATTTATTTTTCACTTATTAAGTCATGCACTTTAATTTATAGACGTATCTGTAGATACACACAAATATTGAAATAGCGCATAATAAAGATCATAAAATGTCGTTTGAACTTGTAATCTTTTTGTTTGATTAAATTGCTCATGTATTATAATGTGGCATGCAACACGATAAACGATTAATTTAAGAAGAAAAATTGTTATACCTTTTTTGAGTAATCATAAGACTAATACACATATTTAATACCTGTATACCTGTAAATATATCAAACATATATAATTTTCTTTAAAATTAATCAGTCTTTGTAAACGTATGACACTATTAAGAAATATTTTATTATTCTATCTTTTATTAAAAAAAAAAATCGTATTTTTATTACTTTTAAATTTGATTTCAAAACTTGAACTTCGTCTTGTCGCAAATGATGTATTGCATGTCGCATTATAACCCATGAATATAAACGAATATAAGCGAATCTTAAAAAATATATTACAGATCTGTAAAGAGCTATATTTCGATTAGCACGCGAGAAATCATTATTCCTCCGAGAATAACTCGTACCTTACGTATTACGTACATTAAACGCTAGATTTTAAATATCTTAAATAAAATTACACCAAGGCACCAAATATCTGGTCACTAAAAATTGAAAAATTGATCGATCGAATAATAATGCATTTCTCCACTATAATTTCTATACGTATCCGTATAAAGTTGTCATTGTCATTTTATTTATTTATTTATTTTTTTCCCAATCACTTTCACGATCTTTCGATGATTTATCCGATCCAAACTGTTCCTTTTTTCTCCTTTCCCTTCCACAAAAACAACATTCGGAAAATAACATTCCCTATTATTTCTTCATTCGTATATTTCTCCGCACGTTGAAGCGCGAACCTGCGTGAAACTTTATCCCACGAATGGGAAAGGTGGGTAGCCGACAGGCGGTGGATAATAGCCAGGGAAAGGTGCGACCGTCGGTTGAACAGGAACGGTTGTCGTGACGTAGGTGGTAATTTCGGTGGGCACTATCCTACTCGAGAATAACGTGGTGTAAGCAGTCTTCGCCCCGAAAGTGAGTTTCAACACTTTCGAATCGGAGAGCGTTGCAAGAGTTTGGGTGATCAGTGGAGCGCTGGTCACCGTGAACTGCGGTTGCTGCGGGAATAGTGGCAATTGGGGGGGCAATTGTGGAGGCAACTGAGGCGATAAAACAGGTGCTATAGTGGATGTTCCATATTCGTAGGACGTGCGTGGCACAGTCCCGACTGGCCTCGACAACGTCGAGTATATCGTGTTTCCGTTGTTCACTACCGGGATCACGTGGGACTCGTAGAGAGTGTCGAGGACGACGATTGGTCGCGACGTGGTGATCACTTGTGGTTGCTGTTGACCGAAATATTTCAACAGAGCCAATTGATCTGGAGTCAATTGGGACTCTATGGAAGCAGTCTGCGTCTCCATAGACTTCACTTTCGACGAGGAAATCGATTTAAAAGGTTCCAAGTCTGCGTCCATGTCGTTGCTAGGAGCCACCACTCTTTTAGGAATGTCGTCGTCGTCCCTGTCCTCGTCACCGACGTCCAACTCTAGATGAAGCTCGCTACCTGCTTCGTCCAATTTCGAGTTGAACTCGTTCAACGCTTTGCTTGGAATAAACTGGTAGATGTCCATGGGCGGCAATGTCTTCGTTGCCGTGACAACTCGCGCTATGTTATACGTTTGAACGAGAGTGATTTTGGTCGTGTTATTGCCGGAAACGACCGGGAGCAGATGAGTTTTGAGCAACGTTTGAGTTGTGGAGAATGTTTCGGTCAATGTCTCTAAAGGTGGTGTCGCTTGCCCGGTTTCCAAAGATATTGCTGGAAGAGTTGCCACAGCCGAGTCCAATGGCAACGTCGTTTCGTACGCCGCTCCCGTATTCGCGAGCAAATTTTCGGTTAATGGTTCTGTCGGGGATATCGTGGTGGACGGATCCATCGTTGAAAATGATTTCTTCATCGTCGACGTAACCGTCACGTAACGGGTATTCCTGAGCGTTCCAACCTGCGTTATAATAAACGATATATTATATGAAACGAGAAAATTTGTAATACAACGAAGATAGGAACATAGGTTTTTCTCTTATTTACCTGGAATGTATACGGCGATTTAATAGTAGCAATTTCGAAATACACGTTGCTCATATCGGCGGCCGTCGAGATCTCGACATTGATCGTTTCGATCGGTAAAATTTGTTGCTCGGAATGTTGATCCTGAACGCTTACGCTGGCCACGTCCTCGCTTTCGCTCGGGTCCAATTCATCGTCGCTCCCCGTCTCTTGAATTTTTCTCTGACTGTTAACCGCTTGGCCGCTCGCCACCGAGGTGGACATTGTTGGCAAGGGGGGCGAGGACGCAACGGTAATCTTTCCCTCGTCCACGCCAGATGGAGCCTCAGTTGTGCTACTTTCGACGGATAACGAGCTTCGTTGATCCTCCTCTATATCCACTTGCTTTCGAATAGCTATCCTCGGCTTGGGCGTCGTCTTGTAGGACCAACGGCCTTGGGTTCTTGGCAACTTCGGTTTCGGCAAAGGATTCGAAGCTATTGGTTGCTGCTCGTTCTTACCTTTGTTACTCTGCTTCGAGGGCAAACTCGAAGGTTGATTGTTGGGCCTGAAACCGGTGCGGCGGCGAGTGATGGGCGGCTCGGTGGTCGTTGTCGGAGGATTTCGATTTCTGATCGAAAAATGTTCAATTATCGATTCTCTCGATTCATAGTGACCGTCATAATGTTCGTTACGATACTAACTTGTAACTTGGCCTTGAGGTAGTGTTGCTACGATTCTTGGTCGGCTTCGATTTTTGCACTTCCCCACTATTCTCGTAATCATCGTTGATTTTATTCCGGAATTTCGGCCGCGATGAATTCGGAGTTGAATTTTTTCGAGTACTTCTTACCGTGGAACCTAATAAACGGAAAAAATAATATTTAAATTTCATTGAACAGTATTTTCTCTACCAACTAATATATATTATATTATAAAAAAAAACAATATAATATAATATCGTAATAATATCGTAAAGATCGATAATTAAGAATTTTTATTTTTCTTTTAAAATAAATCTTATATTCTTCTTAAAGCGCGGAAGAAAGAAGGGAATGTAATAAAAATTTTATCAAAATTCTATGGTTTACCAGCCGGAGCGCTAAACAAAACTTCGAGAGGTAAGGATGATTCTTCTTGCGGATGGGTTGGTGTGGGCTCCAATTGCGGTTTCAACTTTCCCTGTTGAGGCCCGATAGTCTTTAAGATACGTTGCGTGCTCGAGGGACGGATTTTGCCTTCTGGAACCGGCGGCGTGCCAGAGAGTATTCTCGACGAGCTCTGAAGCACCTGGGCGTATTTTCCATTTATGTAAGTACCGATCACGCTTGTTTCGTGAACAGTAGTCAGTCCATCTTTAACGATAGTTCCACCGAGCTTCGTGACCAGCCCAGTTGGATTCTCCTTCTCCCGACGACCAGTCGGCCTCGGTTTCCCGTGAGCTTTTGACGATGGCCTCAAATTGATCAACTGCAAGATTAAAAAATGGACATGATTTTGATCTTGAATTAATTTAATATTTCCAATTGTTATATTAATTAAAATACTTTCATTAAAATGATTCGATTAAAATATTATAATATGCTAAGATTAAAAATTTTGGAAATGAGTTGTTAATGTTATGATTTTGATCTTGAATTAATTATTTTAATTAAAATGATTCGATATTCGTTAAAATATAATAAGAAATTTTGGAAATGGATTGTTAATGTTATAAGTAAATGTTTTAAATAATTTAACTTGAGAGTTGAGAGTTGAGACGATGTTGATTGAATCTTACTATAGGAATCGACATTTTTCTTGTATGACGCATTAGGTAGATAGATTTTTATCGAATGAACTTTAAGTATAAATCGATGAGCTTCAATGGTGAAATCGTTTATCAGAATGCTATCTAACGATGAGACACAACTTTCACGTGGTTCATGACCGATATTGCACATTAATAAATTAATAAACGGATGAACAAATATATATATATAAATGAATTTCAATCAAAGGAAAATTATCTTATCATCTTATTATCTCGCGTACTTGTAAATGCATAATATTATAAGAAATATAATTTATTACCGCGTAAAACACGATAAATTATCTATCTTTCTTAATTTTAATAATGAAAATATTAGAATCTATTAATTTAACAACTGGAAAGAACTAGATTTTCTGGTTCAGTTGACTTATCTCGTATCTATTTATATACAACCAACAATTCGTGTCAATGTTAATAACATGCAAGAACTCGATAAAATTATATTACTGTTCAATGGCTTGGAACACGGAAGAATTTTTCCATAATTTTGTTGCGCATACGAGTTTTATTATTCGAAAATACCATAAAAATACTATAACCAAAAAAAAAAAAGAAATCGAAAAATTCTAATTCTATTCGCAACAAATTAATTCTTAAAGCCT